ATTTTTCTATACAGCCTCTTGAAGATGACATTTCTTCTTCTATCTCCATTTTTCCTTCCTCCCTCCATCCTTCTCTTCCCTTCTACCCTCTCTCCTTCCTTCCTTTTTTTCATTTCTCTGTCCTTCTTTTGTTCCTTTTTCTGAGAAATCAAATGTCAGCAATTTTGCCCTTGCAGCTGCTTTGCTTTTACTACACTTAACTTTAGCAAATGTATGCATGCTTTTCAAACTAAGATATGTGTGGTTATATATTGAAAGACTGTCAAACCTCAGAGGGAAGGTAGGGGAGGGTGGGGGGTAAGGGGGAGAGATCAACCAAAGGACTTATATGCAAGCATATAGGCCTAACCAATGGACACAGACAACAGGGGAGTGCGGGCATGAGTGGGGGGTATGGGGGGTAATGTGAGGATAAGGACACATATGTAATAACTTAATCAATAAAGAAATGTTTAAAAAATAAATAAAAATGTTGAAAGTTCAAAAAAAGAAAGTATATGAATTCATAGGCTAAACAAAGACCATCTTGGAGCATCAATTTTAGTCAAGCATATATGGTTTGTGGAGTTAAATTTACTGAGCACTTAATATGAGTCAAGCATTTAGTCCTCAAACAATCACATAAGGTAGGTATTGTTATTATTCTCACTTTAGTGATAAGGAAACTCAGGCTTATAGAGACAAAGTAACTTGCCTAAAGTAATTGCTAATAAGCAGTAGAGACATCTTATCTTGAAAGCTAACTTGAAGCCTTACTGATGCCAATTACTCCCAACTACTATGCTCCATTTCTTTAAAGCATGGATATAGTGTAAAAAGCAAAATTCACATGCATAACATTTTAAGAAACATCAAACCTATAGCCAGCTACTTTGAGCTACACTGTCCTCAGTGGCTTTGGCTAATGTTGTGGGAGAAAATGAAAAGCCCTACAAAAAGTGTACAGAACCAGAATTGGGTGAGATTAGCAGATTCATATTGACTAATGGAGATAGTCTTGTGAGCATCTAACTCTGGTTCTCTTTATCAGCCAGGGTCTCAACAAAAAGCAGATGGCACATTCAAATTAAGAGAATTTAAGAGATGTCAAGCTAAGAGGATCTTTTCCCCAACTGTGAGATATAGTCCTATATAATAAAAGCCTAATATGCAAATCAACTGAACGGCAGAACAACCGGTGGAATGACCAGTCACTATGATGTGCACTGACCACCAGGGGGCAGACGCTCAATGCAGGAGCTGCCCCCAGTCTGTAGTCCCTAGGCCAGCCAAGGCGGGGTGCCAGTGAGGGCTCCCCCATCTCTCCATGTCCGCCCGCACAGGGAGGCAACTGGCGGCAGTGGGGGGGGGCAGTGAGTGGGCAGCATCAGGCAGGTGCCAGCAGGGGGGCCCCAATCACCCCGCTAGTCTCCCCACAGATCAACCCTGATCCCCAGCCAGGACTAGGGACCCTACCCATGCACGAATTTCGTGCACCAAGCCTCTAGTTCAGGGGTCCTCAAACTACGGCCCGCAGGTCACATGTGGCCTGACGAAAACATTTATCCGGCCCGCCTGTTGCTTAGCAGCTGACTCATCCCCGGGCCCACAGTGCGCATGTGTGGAATGTGCGCCGCACTCTCCGACTCCCCTCCTTCTCTCTGTCTCTCGACTCCTCCTCTCAGTCTCGGGTGTGATCGGACAAGTCACGAGCTTGCCTGTGCAGAGCCTGCTGCTGCTGCCTGAGGACCGAGGTAAGAACAAGTTAGGATTTAGTTTTTTTTTAAGTTAGGAGGTCTATTTTTTTTTATTTTGCAGTTAGTAGGGCCTTTTTTTTGAAGTTAGGAGAGCCTTTTTTTTTGAAGTTTTGTTTTTTTACTTCAAAATAAGATATGTGCAGTGTGCATAGGAATTTGTTCATAGTTTTTTTTTAAACTATAGTCAGGCCCTCCAATGGTCTGAGGGACAGTGAACTGGCCCCCTGTTTAAAAAGTTTGAGGACCCCTTCTCTAGTTAATATATAAAAGGGGCTATTTATATAAAAGTGGATTTGATATAGGAGACACATAATGGATAGTGCAGTAACTCAGAGCTAGTAGTAACAAAGCTATTACCAGCCCTAGGCCTGAAGGCACAAGGTGAACGGTGATTGCTGGATGGAAAAGGAGACAGAGGTGTGGAGAAGGCTTCCTTGAGAGGAGCATTGACCTTTGTTTGAGGGACACAGCCACTCCAAGAAAACCTCACAGTGAGGGATCCAAAGGAATCAATACTCTGCCCTCACTCTCCTCCTTCCCTCTGACCTCCTGTGGGAGTTTTCTGTTAGCCAAACTCAGCCAAATGCCAGAGGGCAAGAGAGCTGGTTAATGTAATCCATACAGTTCAGATTACAGAGGACAGAGAGCAGGGAAAAGAAGAATGGAGAGAGGATTTGAACAGGGCAAATAGAAGACATCTAGCACAAATACTTTATGACAGTGCTGAGGCAACAGAGACCTATCAGAATGTCCTATTACCCCTTTCTGCTGATTCCATGAAGACAATAGAAGTGACCTCCAAGAGATTATTTTAGACCTTAGATACTAACATTCACAGTGTGTTAATAAAGATATTACTAGCTGCTCTAAACACAAATTTCAAATTCTTAGTGGCATAACACAGTAAAATTATTTCACAGTCCAATGTGAATGTTCTTGGTTGTGAAGGGCTTCCACATGGGCATCAAGCACCCAGATCCTTCCATCTCATACTTCTGACCTTCTCTGAACACTTGGAGTTCTCTCCATTAAGCCAGTAGATAGGGAAATAGACTAAAGTAATTGCTTCTTAACTACTTTGGCCTAAAAATGACAAAGCAATTCCTCTAAAATGCAATTAGTGAGATGGCCCTATCTAGATGTGAGAGGGGCTGGAAATGCAGTTCATAGCTTGATAGCCACTATGCAGCAGCAACCCTACAATATGGGATGGAAGCAGGAATCTTTGAGAGAATCATTTAGACATCCTTGCCACAGATAGCTTTGCAGACTGATATAAACTTATTTATACAGACAGGTAAATATCCTATAAAACATTTAATCAAGCAGTTATTGCAGGCTATTTATATGGTAGGTATTGTGTGGAAGAGAAAGGAAATATCAGGCATGCTGACTATCCTTGAAAGACTTACAGTATTTGCAGAGGCATCAAGGTAAAATAACTAGAACTGAATCGGTTATTTGGCTGTTTTCCAGTTCTTCATGCTTGGTACCATGGAAACATAAACATATGAATGATTGATTTAAGTTATTCATTTTGATATCTAGATGTATGCAATTTCTCCACACAGACTCAAATAATTCTGTCATTCTTATTAAAATTGGTCCATCAGTTTTGTTAACCACCAGTAACTTTTGGTTATTCAGAAAACATACTTAAGCATTTTGTCTGTACCTGTAGCAACAGCCCTGGGTCTCCTGATCACTACAGGCCAACCCCCTCATCGCCCTTAGTATCCTTAGGCCATTCATTTAATCCCAAGGAATAGTTATTAAGGAGCCTAATTTTATTATCTTGTAAAAAGAAAAGAATTCCAATTCATTACAAGTAATTTTACCCCAAGGTTTCAATCTCATTCCATTTCCATTGACTTAGGCTTTTTCTTTTTCCCATCATAGGTCCTTTAAGGCATCTTATTCTTTGAGATTTAATTCTGTTTAAAAAGGCAGTGACACACAGGTCAGGTTTATTTTGTAAAAGTCAAAAGCCGCCTGACAGAACAATTAACAAGGGGACTGTGAAAAGGGCTGGAATCCACAAATATAGACAAACATCTGCATTCCTGACATGCCAACCTCATGTTATGCTGGAGGAAAAAGTTATACTTGTAATGATGTGAATATGTGAAATATTTCTTTCTCCTCTAGAGCTAAAAAAAGGCTGTAATGGGATTTAAAATAAATAAAACGGCAGGTACCTGCCAATGAAGACATGGAGGAGGCAACATAAAGAGCCTGGATAATTGAAGTTCACAATTATTTTAATACCTTAATATGAGACTGTCAAATTTTCAATCTCCTTCTGTAACCAGCCAAAAATTGCTTATATGAAGAAAGACCAGTTCCTTTAAACTGCACATCCTTTTCCTGGGCTTTCCTTAAGAGATACCAATTAGCAGTGAAAGGGTTGTAGACTTATGGTAAAAAGAAAAGGAGCTTGGAGCTGACTATAAACCCTATGGAGAGATTAACCTGCAGCCATATAATGCTGATCAAATGGAATTAAAATAAAGCACCTTACAGAATTCCCTGGCCATTGCTCTGCTGACTGGCCACACTTCCCCTAGTACAGCCTCTTCACCATTTCAAAGTAAGTGAAAAAAAGCCTTAAGATATTGTATGATTGGGAAGGAGAGTTTCACACCAGTCCAGTAGCCAGTCTTGTGATTATACAGGGTGGGGCAAAAGTAGGTTTACAATTGATCTCATGGAAAATAATACAATAATCCAATATAATAAAAGCCTAATATGCTAAGTGTCCAACTGTTCCTTCAACCATTTGATCAGTCACTATAACTTGCACTGACCACCAGGGGGCAGATGCTCAGACCAGTAGGTTAGCTTGCTGCTGGGGTCCAGTCGATTGGGACTGGGTAAGACAGACCAGACTTGCCCTGGAGCCCTCCCGCAGAAAATCCTCGGCCCCAATTGGCCTTGATTGGGTCCCTCAGCCTGGCCTGTGCCCTCTTGAAATCCAGGATTCCTCAGGGGATGTCAGAGAGCTGGTTTCTGCCCAATCCCCACAGGCCAGGCCAAGGGACCCCACCGGTGCAAAAATTCATGCACTGGGTCTCTAGTTACTAAATAATAATACAAGAATAGTTTCTGCCCTCCCGCCCGCCCCTCCCCCCGGTGCACCAGCCTTGCCTGGCCGCTGGCCAGGCTCCCCTCCCTGGCCCCGACGGGTGGGCGGGCTGCCCTGAGGAGGCGGGGAGGGGAGCGCCGGGCCAGCCCGTGGGCAGGTGACAATGCCGAACTTCTGAGATGCTGAACTTCTGGGCGGCCCCCAACTGCACGCGGAAGAGCACTCAGTCGGATCTGGCCTTCTTCAGGTTCCCGAGGGATCCAGCCAGATGCCAGAAGTGGGTGGAAAATTGTAGAAGAGCAGACTTAGAAGATAAAACACCTGATCAACTAAATAAACATTATCGATTATGTGCCAAACACTTTGAGACCTCTATGATCTGTAGAACTATACATTTTGCAGAGGCACCAGAAAACTAAAGAATGATTGGGTTATTTATTTCTCAAAATTATTTGAAGCAGATACTTGTGAAGTCATTGGGAGAGTCCTTAGGACAGTTCTTCGAGATAATGCAATACCAACAATATTTGATCTTCCCAGTCATTTGAACAATCCACATAGTAGACACAGAAAACGAATAAAAGAATTGAGTGAAGATGAAATCAGGACACTGAAACAGAAAAAAAGTAAGGGCTAGTGTTAATGACTCAACTCCTGAATGCCTTTTAAAAAGGCCTTGACCTGTTGACGAAACTTCTGAACAGGAACAAAAACATAAAGAGATCAACAACAGCAATGCTCAGAACTCCAATACAGAAGGGGGTGAAGAACAGGATGAAGACATTTTACCTTTAACCCTTGAGGAGAAGGAAAACAAAGAATACTTAAAATCTTTATTTGAAATTTTGATTCTTATGGGAAAACAAAACATACCTCTAGATGTACATGAAGCTGATGAAATCCCAGAAGGTCTCTTTACTCCTGATAACTTTCAGGCACCGTTGGAGTGCCGGATAAATTCTGGTGAAGAGGTTCTGAGAAAGCGCTTTGAGACAACAGCAGTCAACACACTGTTCTGTTCAAAAGCACAGCAGAAACAGATGCTGGAGATCTGTGAGAGCTGCATTCGGGAAGAAACGCTCAGGGAAGTGAGAGACTCTCACTTCTTTTCGATTATCACTGATGACCTAGTGGACATAGCAGGGGAAGAGCACCTGCCCCTGTTGGTTTGTTGACGAAGCTCATAACCTGAGAGAGGAATTTGTGGGTTAAGAGCCTTATGGAGCTGATGCCGAAATTTTGGCTATGAAATTTCACACTATGATAACTGAGAAGTGGGGATTAAACATGGAATATTGTCGTGGCCAGGCTTACATTGTGTCCAGTGGATTTTCTTCCAAAATGAAAGTTGTTGCTTCTAGACTTTTGGAGAAATATCCCCAAGCTGTCTACACACTCTGCTCTTCCTGTGCCTTAAATATGTGGTTGGCAAAATCGGTGCCTGTTATGGGAGTGTCTGTTGCATTAGGAACAATTGAGGAAGTTTGTTCTTTTTTCCATCGATCACCACAACTGCTTTTAGAGCTTGACAATGTAATTTCTGTCCTCATTCAGAACAATGAAGAAAGGGGTAAAGAACTGAAGGAAATTTGCCATTCTCAGTGGACAGGCAGGCATGATGCTTTTGAAATTTTAGTGGACCTCCTACAAGCACTTGTTTTATGTTTAGATGATATAAATAATGATACAAATATTAGATGGAATAACTGTATAGAGGGCTGAGCATTTGTACTCTGTAGTGCAGTAACAGATTTTGATTTCGTTGTTACCATTGTCATTCTTAAAAATGTACTATCTTTTACAAGAGCCTTTGGGAAAAATCTCCAGGGTCAGACCTCTGATGTCTTCTTTGCAGCCAGTAGCTTGACTGCGGTGCTGCATTCACTAAATGAAGTGATGGAAAATATTGAAGTTTATCATGAATTTTGGTTTGAGGAAGCCACCAATTTGGCAACCAAACGTGATATTCAGATTAAGCTCCCTGGGAAACTCCGCAGAGCTCAGCAAGGGAACCTGGAATCAAAGCTGACCTCTGAGAGTTACTGTAAAGAAGCTCTAAGTGTTCCAACAGTGGAACACATTATTCAGGAACTGAAAGATATATTCTCAGAACAGCATCTCAAAGCTCTTAAATGCTTATCTCTGTTCCCCTCTGTCATGGGACAGCTCAAATTCAATACATCAGAGGAGCACCATGCTGACATGCACAGAAGTGACTTACCCAATCCTGATACACTCTCAGCTGAGCTGCATTGTTGGAGAATCAAGTGGAAACACAGAGGAAAAGATATAGAGCTTCCATCCACCACTTATGAAGCCCTCCACCTGCCAGACATCAAGTTTTTTTTCCTAATGTTTATGCATTGTTGAAGGTCCTATGTATTCTTCCTGTGATGAAGGTTGAGAATGAACGCTATGAAAATGGGCGAAAGCGTCTCAAAGCATACCTGAGGAACACTTTGACAGACCAAAGGTCAAGTAACTTAGCTTTGCTTAACATAAATTTTGATATAAAACATGATTTGGATTTAATGGTGGACACATGTATCAAACTCTATACAACTAAGTCAGAGCTTCCTACAGATAATTCTGAAACTATCGAAAATACCTGACTTTTAAAATGGGTTTTCTCTTATATCTGATATTGAAAAAAATATAAGAAATTTGAAACTATAGAAAAGCAATAAGATATATGTAGGCCACTTAATCACTGAATATCTTGAGTACATTAGCCATTGATAATCTGACTATTTAAATGGCCCGTTTGAACTCTCATGCTTTGAAGAACTAACTGTTCTTCCAGAGGGTAGCATTGAAAGTGCCACGCTGCACTTCTGCGTGGTCTCTGCTAATGGCACTTTGGAATTGTTTTAGTTAAATCATTTTAGACATAGCATTTATTATCACTGTGGATCCTGTTGTTAGGTATTGAGTTACCAGTTCTTTGAAGAAATAAATTTTGAGAAGGTGTGAGAGGAATATGTTTCATAAAATTTTACGATGAAGCTCATGACTAACCTTTGAATAGCAGGAGTTTTAAGTTTACTATTAAAAATCTTTAATGAACAGTTAAATTACCAGATAGTGAAAGAAACGTGAGCTTGCCAAACAAGGATTTCAGTGTAGATTTTGTCTTTATTCGATAATCTTAAACAAGTTACTGTTAAACATTGAAGGAAGAACCTGCCATTGTTCCACATCTGGGTGTTGCTGTTTACATTCCTTTGATGAGCCTATATCTTCATAAGCTTTTTAGCAAGTATATGTCGAACACTTCTTTTTCATGGTCAAGACAGGATCAGAGGCTATGGATACTGACAACAGATTGGTCTGTTTTATTCTGTCTTTTTCCATGATTATATCTATTGCCTCGTCTTGATTTATAAGCAAAACCTAGACAACCTACAAAAATGTGTTTTGTAGTTTATCTAGGAATAATACAGAAAATATTGCTGTTATTTTTGGTGAAGAAAGTCAATTTTGTACAGTTTATTTCGACGTAAATAAAATGTGAATTTGGTGTGTTTTTTTTTAACAAAAAGAACAAACTCTGGGTTTCACGTACTCACAACTGTAAACCTACTTTTGCCCCACTCTGTATAATACAAGTGGCCATTAATAGAGTGTTCTTTAAATGTTCTAGGAAGGCCCTTTTGCCAAAACAAGCTATTCTTCCTTATCTCTATGGTTAAATTTCTCTTAACAAAGCCAAAGTTCTTCCTTACACAAATATAAATAAAATTAAAATATTAACCCCATGAAAGAGCCCGGAAGGCTGATGTCTACCCAGTCTTTCAATGATGAGGTCAATAGGAAAAGAAGACCTAGAACTTCAATGAATGCTCTTCAGATTTCCCCTTCAAGCTCATCAGTTTCTCTAAGAAGGACACAGTACAAAGAAGATTCAGGTAGTGAGAAAGGCAACCTAGACAAAAACTAGCAAGGGCACCTTGGATCCCAAAGGGATTGCCAGAGCCAGCTCAGATGTTTTGAAGGTTTTTTGGTTTGTTTGCTTGGTTGGTTGGTTTTTGTTATTTAAGATCATCTGATTCTATTTTTTTAAATTTATTTATTTATTTCTAAAGTTTTACATATGTCTCCTTTTTCCCCAATTGACAACCCCCCCCCCCCGCAGCCATTCCCACCCTGGGCAAGACCCCACCGCCCTAGTGTCTGTGGCCATTGGTTATGCTAATATGCATGCATACAAGTCCTTTGGTTGCTCTCTAAACCACCTCCCCTCTGTTGTTATTTGTTCTGGATCTATTCTTGTTCATCAAATTATGTTGATCATTATATCCCATATATGAGTAAGATCATGTGATATTTATCTTTTCTGACTGATTTATTTCGCTTAGCATAATGCTCTCCTGGTCCATCCATGCTGTTGCAAATGGTAAAAGTTCCTTCTTTTTTATAGCAGTGTAGTATTCCATTGTGTAGATGTACCACTGTTTTTTTAATATATTTTATTGATTTTTTACAGAGAGGAAGGGAGAGGGATAGAGAGTTAGAAACATCTATGAGAGAAAAACATCAATCAGCTGCCTCCTGCACACCCCCTACTGGGGATGTGCCCACAACCAAGGTACATGCCCTTGACCAGAATCAAACCTGGGACCCTTCAGTCCACAGGCCAACGCTCTATCCACTGAGCCAAACCAGTTAGGGCCGTACCACAGTTTTTAATCCACTCATCTGCTGATGGGCACTTAGACTGTTTCTAAATCTTAGCTATTGTAAATTGCTGCTATGAACATAGGGGTGCATATATCGTTTTTGATTGGTGTTTCTAGTTTCTTGGGATATATTCCTAGAAGTAGGATTACTGAGTCAAATGGGAGTTTCATTTTTAAATAAATGAGGAAACTCTATACTGTCTTCCACAGTGGCTGCACCAGTCTGTATTCCCACCAGCAGTGCAGGAGGGTTCCTTGTTCTCCACATCCTCGCCAGCACTTGTCATTTGTTGATTGGTTGATGATAGCCATTCTGACAGGTGTGAGATGGAATCACATTATTGTTTTGATTTGCATCTCTCAGATGATTGGTGACTTTGAGCATGTTTTCACATGTCTGTTGGCATTCTGTATGTCCTCTTTCGAAAAGTCCTTATTTAGGTCCTTTGCCCATTTTTTGATTGGATCATGTATCTTCCTTTTGTTAAGTTGTATGTGTTCTCTGTAAATTTTGGAGATTAAGCCCTTATCTGAAATATCATTGGAAAATATGTTCTCCCATGCAGTGGGCTTTCTTGTTGTTCTGTTGATAGTTTCTTTTGCTGTGCAGAAGCTTTTTATTTTGATGTAGTCCCATTTGTTTATTTTCTCCTTGGTCTCCATTGCCTAGGAGCTGTGTCTGTAAAGATATTGCTATAGCATATGTCTGCTATTTTGCTGCCTATGGAGTCTTGTAGGATTTTTATGGTTTCCCATCTTACATTTAAGTCATTTAGCCATTTTGAGCTTGTTTTTGTGTATGATGTAAATTGGCAATCTAGTTTCTTTCTTTCTTTTTCATGTATTTGACCAAATTTCCCAGCACCATTTATTGAAGAGACTGTCTTGACTCCACTATATGCTCTTATCTCTTTTGTCAAATATTAATTGAGCATAATGGCTTGGGTTGATTTCTGTGTTCTCTGTTCTGTTCCATTGTTCTATATGTCTGTTCTTGTGCCAGTACCAGGAAAATTTTGAGAACCATGGCTTGGTAATATAGCTTAATATCTGGTATTGTGATCCTTCCAACTTTGTTCTTTCTCAGGATTGCTGTGGCTATTTGGAGACTTTTTTTATTCCAGATGAATTTTTGGAGAGTTTGTTCTAGATCTTTGAAGTATGCTGTTGGTATTTTAATGGGGATTGCATTAAATCTATAGATTTCTTTGGGTAGTATGGACATTTTAATGATGTTGATTCTACCAATCCAAGAACATGGTATGTTCTTCCATCTGTTTATGTCTTCCTCTATCTCTTTTTTTCAATGTCCTATAGTTTTCTGGGTAGAGGTATTTTACCTCCTTAGTTAAGTTTATTCCTAAGTATCTTACTTTTTTTGGTGCATTGGTAAATGGGATTTTGTTTGTTTGTTTGTTTTTCGTTTCTCTTTCTGTGAGTTCATTATTGGTGTATTAAAAAGCCAGAGATTTCTGGGTGTTAATTTTTTATCTTGCTACTTTGCTGAATTCATTTATTAAGTTCTTGTAGCTTTTTGATGGAGTCTTTTGGGTTTTCTATGTATACAATCATGTCATCTGCGAATAAGGACAGTTTTACTTCTTCTTTTCCAATTTGGATACCTTTTATTTTTTCTTGTTGTCTGATTGCTATGGCTAGCACTTCCAGTACTATATAGAACAGGAGTGGTGAAAGTTGGCATCCCTGTCTTGTTCCTGTTCTTAGCAGAAATGAGTTTAGTTTTTGCCCATTGAGTATGATGTTGGCTGTAGGTTTGTCATATAAAGCTTTTATTATGTTGAGGTATGATCCCTCTATTCTCACTTTGCTGAGAGTTTTATCAAGAAAAGGTGTTGAATTTTATCAAATGCTTTTTCTGCATTTATTGATATGACTATGTCACTTTCGTCTCTCAATTTGTTAATGTGATGTATCACATTTATTGATTTGTGGATATTGTACCATCCTTGCATCCCCAGAATAAATCCCAGTTGGTCATGCTGTATGATTTTTCTGATGTAATGCTGAATCTGATTTACTAGAATTTTGTTGAGGATTTTAGCATCTATGTTCATCAAGGATATTGGCCTGTAGTCCTCTTTTTTTGTGGTGTCTTTATCTGGTTTTGGAATTAGGGTAATGGTGGCTTCATAGAATGATCTTGGAAGTGTGCCTTTCTCTTGAATTTTTTGCAGAAGTCTGAGTAGGATAGGTTTTAGTTCTTCTTTGAATGCTTGGTAGAACTCACCTGTAAAGCCATCTGGACCAGGGCTTTTGTTTGCTGGGAAGATTTTTGAACACTGCTTGACCTATTCAGGCTTTTTTATTCTTCCTTATTGAGTTTTGGGAGCTTGTATTTTTCTTAGAATATGCCCATTTCATCTAGGTTGTCCATTATGTTGGAATAGAGATGTTCATAGTATTTTTTCATAACCCTTTGTATTTCTGTGGCA